TTCCTGAGCTTTGTGTCAAATTGCCGATTTTTATAAGACCATCTAAAATGATTGGTGGCTTTAAAGCAAACAAATGTTATGTTTGTGCTCCTTCAAACGGTCATTTTCCAGTTTTCATATTACGATCCCCATTGTCCACAGCAAAAAAAAAAATACTTGTGAATCTTGAACACTTCAGTTTTCAGTACAGCTCCTTGTAAGATGAAAGCCTATATAAAATAGTTGAACTTTGTGAAATATTCTTGCTAATGTATCCATTCATCTCATAACCAGTTCACAATCGCTACAACTACGTTCACATTCTCCAATTCTCTTTGTGAAAATTTCTATCAAATAGTTTTTCAGTTGTTCGAATTTTTTTAAATTAATATTTAAGAGTGCCACTGATTCTAAGCAAATTGTCAAATTATTGTTGCAAATTAATAAAATTAGGTGGTATTGCTCCAAAATATAATTTGAAGGATTTTGAATTTTGAGTATTATTTAATTGCTATTCTGCTTTAGTATAACTCAGAAATGTGATTTTTTGGAATAGTTGAAGCTGTTAAATGTCTCAAAGTTTGAATTAAGTTGCATTGGAACGAGAATCATTTCTTTTCTAAGAATTGGTTTTGATCCCCGCAGTTGAACTATGCTGTTTATCAGTGAGGAGAGAATCTGAGATATAGTTGGAGGAAAATTATTGTAACAGACGTGATGTTCATAGCTCGATAGTTGATTACGTCCTTCAACAAAGGCGTCCCAGTCATCTCAGTGTTTGTTCTCCCCGCCTTTCCTCTCTATCCCGACTGCTACTGTGTCCTTTAAAATCAGTCCTTGAACTCAGGCAGAAAGGTTTGACACTTGACCTCTGCACCTGTCGCATCTATCGTACTCCTTATTCACTTGATCGGCTTCCCCTTATCTTCGTATTTCAGCCTTTAATATCTTATTTTCTCGACAGCCTTTCATCTCTAAGTGTTCTTATGGATTTTTTATTTCATTCAAATTTGAAAATTCGTAAATAAAAAAGTTAAAGAAAGTAAGATGAGATTTTGATTAAGGTGATCATTTAAAATGATCATACTCCGTGTAGAAAATTAAAATTTTAGGACACCTGTATTATAAATTGCTTTACAGCACCCAATGTCGTTCTGCACGCATCCTCTTTAGTAGTAACAGTCTTTATAAGGAAATTAGGGACGATTGCTCAAATATTAATGGTCAATTTGATGAAAGTGATGATCATACTTCAACCACTTTCCTCTTAAATAATATAAACAGGACGATGGATGTTATGAGTAATAAGCTGGTTGCTTTTAAAAGGAAAATTTTGTCGGTTCTGAATTAAATTTTATGGAGACTTATCAAACGATATATGTATTTGTTTGCCACGTAATCTGTTTACTTTGTGAAGCAGAGAGAAGTGTTTAATAGCTGCGTGGTCTCTTCTGTGATGGTGCTTGAATGATATTGTGGACACTGCAGCGTTATGCCTATGTTCCTGTTGTGTCCTAAATGCCTGTTTATTTCTTAAAAACAAATCACACCTATAACTTCATTTAGTGACAGCTTATACTACTTGAACCATTTATCGAGCGATAGGTGTCTTGTGCAGACGCGACAGTATTTTTTCTCTCCCTTATTTATTAATTTGTTTAAGTTTGTTATCCAATGTTTGTCAATTCTGCGGATCTTCCCTACTAAGCTTGCAAAAAAGATTTATAGGAGTTACAAAAGTTAAAAATATTTTATCAACTATATCTAAACAACATCCAAAAATTCTCTAGGTTCTTATTTTGTCTCAAATAGTAATGACCTCTCCTCTCCCCCTCTTTCGATAAAAATGAAGAGAATTTTCAAGAATGATGGAAAGAGTTAGAGCTGTTGGAAATGTAGATTTTTTTTAGGAAAGTTTCCCTTAAATTTGTTAAAAAAAGAACTCATTTACAATACCAAGTAACGTGGGACCTACTTCTTTACACACTTCTAACGATGACATCTATTAAAAACAGCGTAGGTGTTGTTTCTTAGCAACATCATTTGTTGCCAATCAACGAGATAAAGCTCTACACTTTACTTGATCCTTTTTCGAGCATCTTTTATTCATTTACGATCCAAAGTTATACACAAAGCGTTCGATGAAAACACTCTTATGAAGTTGGTTCATGCTGTCGCTTTAATGATTATTTGAGTTGTCATCCCAAAGATCCCAGGGAACAAACCCTAATTATTCGGCTTCTTGCATCCCGGATATTATTGCATTGTCACATTGTCTTCCGAAAGCTATGGGTAACAATCGTGAATTTATTTTCAAGCTTTATTTTTAACTTCATTTTAAATTCTCTTTTGTTATCTATGACTTTGTTAATGGTCATCACCAGAAATCTCAGGAAGTTGAAGCTGGGGAAAAATATGTTCTGCTCATTTGTGATAAGCAAATTTCTGTCTTTTAAGTACAGACTGGATGGTCCTGCTGCTTGCAACATTGAGAACGGCGCAGGGCAAATTTATCACTAAAATGACAGCAGGCCTGCTAAAACTACAACATCCAAGCCCATGAATATTTGATAAAAATGTTAGTGCGTGATTAATAATCTTTACTTTTTATATTCTATTTAACATATTTACACCATAATTTCGTTAAAAAAATCATATCCAATGATCAAAATAACTTTATAATTCCATTTACAGCTTCTGCAAAATCGTTTTGTCTCTACTATGAATAACCATCTATTCTTTGAATTGTTTTAGTTTTTTGAACTTGTGAAATAAAATAAAACCAATCTTTAAAAATTGTAAATGAGGTCGAGAATAGTTGCTTTTCTCTACGAAGTGAAAATAAACATTGAAGAGAGAAATTAGGTTCATTTGGGTTATGTGAATTTTCTCCTTGTCTTCAACCGATTTTTTAATTAATATGCAGTCTTCTTAACTTCATTTCAGGCCGTTTTAGGACAGAATTTGCGGAAGAATTAGTGCATCGCAATGCGAAATAAATGAGCTCAAGAGAGCACACATTGTTTACTACTGGTTGTCAAGCGATATTTGAGATGAAAAGCAAGCAGAACACATAATATCGGCCGACATTTGGCTTCCGTCTTTATTCTTTATGTAGATTTCTGCCCACATTTGACCAGAAATTGTTTCATGACTTTTGCCATATTTCACAATATTCATCTTTTCAGCATCATATAACTTCCAGTGTCTCATTAACTCATTTTTTCACATCTTATTTTGTTTCACAAATCTTTTAACTAATAATGACAATTATCAAAATGCAAAACATTTTGTGAAACGATCATTATTCACCGTAGTAATGTGTAACCTCTACGAAGTATTACTGTGTTCAAGCAACAGCAACATATTAAAACTAACATCAACGCACAAGGTCAAACGATTATAGTACAGTGCACCCGATCTATGACCCCTGAGTTCACGACCTCTGTTATCCATCCTCATCACTCATGACAGCAAGGTTATTGGGCGGTACTGACCTTTCCAGTAACAGATCATATCAGCATACACTTTTATTCGACTACCACTCACTCCTGTCAGATACCTCCTACTTATCGTCTTATCTTGTTTACTTAAAACCATTTTGCACATAGGCAGTATCTGGGGAAAGGTAGATTCAATTAAAACTTTTAAATTCAAATCTGTTTTCGGTCTGCTCATATATGCTTCTATCGGTTTTGCTTCGGTATTATTTTTAATTTGACTTATAATCGTTATTAGCTATATCTTTACAAGCGATTTTTTTTCCGTCCGCCTTGTAAAAATTTGGTAAACAAAATGTTACAAAAGACCAACATGTCCCAGGGATGATATATATAT